TTTTAAGTGTCGTTTTCACTGTTGGTTACACTGGGAGTGGTATGTTGGAATTAACATGGAGTGGTGGGGTTCCAACAACGTATTTTGGGGATTATAAATACAGACTTCTTGGACGGAGACGAGAACCAGGAGGGGACGCCTACAAGTGGACGCACCAGGGTTCCCACAGTCTCCTCAAAGGCACATGCTAATCAATTTCTTTCACTAGGAGATAAGGTTCCACCATTTCCAAGAGTATCACCAGTTGGATGCCAAGCTTTCAGCGCATGGCCCTGGACTGGGGAGTGGGTTTAGACACAAATAGCAGCTCCTTCAGAAATTGTTGATAGACTTGGGCCCTAGTGTAAATTGCTAAAATCACTGTGGTCATCTCATATGGCCAATGCCCTTAAAACAAAAGCCTGTACTCCAGGACCACCTCCCACTTCTTCTCCAACTTAGCCCAGGACATAATTTACTTTCACCCTTCCCGCCACCTCAGGGAAGACCCCAACCCAGCTCCCTCAGATATATCTAAACATGCCCTTCACACCCCTCCCCTGGCAAAAGGCCATAACAGCCTCAGCCTTCCTTTGTCCAGTTCCTTGACCTCCCCAAATTCTCTCCGTGTCCTCAAAGAAAATAAAGCCCTTTTCCCTTTTTCCTTCTGCCTGTTTCTCTGCTGTGCCATTCTCCTGAAAAGCACCTATCAATTTTAAATCTGCAAAAGATAACCATCACTTAAAGATAACTGACTTTAGGATTGAAATTTTGAATGTGTTAATGGTTTTACCAAGGTCACATATACCTCAAGCCTTACCCACTATTTTTAAAGCCGAAATCGTAGCTTTCTTAAGCTATTGCAATTTGATTATTTGAACTGAAGGAATGTACACAGCTGACACCACTGCCTCATGGGTAGGCACATAAAATTTTACAGAGTTAACTTTTTATTCTGTTTAAAATCAGCTGTACCATTACATGCACAGACATGTTCTATTATTGGTCCTCATTACCAGGACTAGAATGAGCAGTACTAGCATGCACACTAATCACAACCAGGATTGCAGAATGCCTACAAAGATTTAAATTGAACCCAAGAAGCGCCTGCATTCACAGAACTTCCAGGCTTTCCTGCGCCACCTCGTGGCCACACTGCGACTGTGGCCAGTGACAGCGCAAAGCTTTTCCCCCGCATGGGTCAACAATGCACCAGCCGCATTGCGGAAACCAGCTTCCATAAAAATGGAGTCTCTGTTGCCAGTGGTAGGAAACAGACTTGCGCTTCTTCCCGTTCCTTCCCCGTCTGTTTTTAATCCCTTAAATCTACCCCCGAGGCCAACCCACTCATGCTCCTCCGGGGACGGGCCCCGACTCCGAAAGCTTCTTCCAGCCCCACAGAGCGCAGC